CAGCGATAACTTCACGTACTTTTTAATTTTAATTGCATAGAGAAATCCAAATTATTAATGCTAGTATTAATAAAAGAACAATTAATTATTAAAAGAGGGATAAAAATGTCAAGATTAGCCTATTTTTTAATTATAAAAACGTGACATATTTTGTTAATTTTAATAGATTTTTGGTTTATTTTCATAATTTTCCCTATTAAAAAACCATTCTCCATATTACTCCACCAAACCGATCACTTAACCGGTTTTTGAATAACAACACCTCTTACAAAGCGATTAAATGATGTACACAGCCCAGTAAAGCAGATAAAGTATTTTTTTTTTTTAAAGGCAAAATACACTCACAAGACAGGCAATAAGAGCTTGACTTAAATAAGTCAGTAGCAAAATATGTACTAGTTTGTATAGCATGACTAATTTGATATATCTAGCTGAAAAGATTAAGGCCATGTTCATTTTCGTAGTTAAACGCAATATTAAAATGTTATGTACAAAAACTGCGCAATTATGTGTATGTTATACAATTCTTTTTGATTTGCTTCTAAGAATTAAATATAAATTTAAAATTTTTAATATCGCTCTTAAAACCCAAAAGAGACAGATGATCTGATTTCATCCTGTTGACATAAGCTTTAGGAATAGTGTCTTCACAATCTATCTTTGACTTTATTGAATAGTAACACTACATAAGAAAAAAAGAAAAATAAAATTTTAACGCAATGGCCAGACTCTACTACGTTTGCTTGGTCGCTGGAAATGAAGATTCCGTCGAGATACTCGTCGTCTCCAATGCCAACTTGGAAGCTCAGACTACGATGGGGAGAAGGCCACTGCACATTGTGTGCAGCCATAATCGTCGACTTTGTCTTCAAGTAAGTAACCTCTTACATATTATTCACTAAGCAATTTCACTGTTTTCAAACCCAACGCTTGCTTGTCTTACAAGATGCATAGGGTGTGTAGACGTAAGTTTACAAATTATTTTAATTTTTGTAGACAGTCTCTGTATTTTTATTTTCAAAAAGTACCACTAATCTTTATGATGTTGTTGCTTACAGCTTCTATTTATACAAAGAGCAAACTCGAACGCGCAAAATGTTGAAGGGTACACAGCTCTTCACTTGGTCTGTTCAAGGCGAGGTACATCGATCTCTAATTGCAGAGGTAGGTCCATTTTCTTGCAATTTGTTTAATAATATGTGTATTAATGCTAATTATTAAGTGGGGTTTTGTGTGTGTTTATAGTTAGTCATTGCTGGAGGTGCTAATGTTGATATCCAAAATGAGAGGGGCCAGACTGCACTTCACCGGTATTGCAACAACGGCGAGCCGGACTGCCTCAACACAATCTTACAAGCGGGAGCCAGTCGCGCCGCTATGGATGAGCGTGGTAACATTGTGAGTAATTTTTTCCCGTGTGTATATATTATATTTTTTTGTTGTAATGTTTGTATTTCTTAAAATTTGTAATATGCAACATGTGCATTGTGCTCCCAACTCCCTAGGAAGAGATGAGAAACCCAGTTGGGATGCGGATCCGAGGGCCACACAGGATGGGTAAGAGAGATATGAAA